CTTCACCTGTCAAGGCTTCTACATGGAGCTTCTGGGACAGCTGTACTCGTCCATACTTGATGCATCCACCGATCGCTTCAGCATCGCGATTGGGGCTCAGGCCGTAGAACTTGCACCGCTTAAACATGGGTTTGGGGAGAGTTTTGGACCAAAGCTGCAGTTCGGGGTTTAGGGCTTAAGGTTTGGGGTTTAGGGTCTAGGGGCTCTGAAGCAATTCCTGTAGTCCGAACCCCAGAAAGTTGGAACACGGATTTAGGATCAACGGCACTGGGATTCCCTATACTGGCTATACTGTACTGAGGATAATGATGTTCCAACTTTCTGGCTTCCACAACTCGAGCATCTAATAGCAGGAACTTGCTTGCGCTTGAGGGACTTTTGAAGTTTAAGGTTTAGGACCAAAAAGCCTTACTTACACGCATTCTTTGTGTTGCTTTCGTACGAGGAGACTGGGCTAAGATGTTTGTTACACAGTGTACAACTCAAACTCAATTGACCCCAGCACACTGCAACAAACCCCTCCCTCAAACTTTAACACAACCCTAAACCTAACCCTCGCCTTCAACACCTGTATTAGCTAAACCCCCTCAACCCTAAACCGTCAACCGGACCGTAACCCCCTCAAGGCCAAAAGCCCTAGAGCCGGCACCCTCAAAAAATCTAAACCTAAGCCCACAGAACCCTTATGGAACTTCCGAAGAGATCGTTAACGGAGCCCTTAAAGGAGGACCGTAAAGCAGCCCGCAAAGGAATCCTTACAGGCACCCAAGCCGCCTTCTTGAGCTGACTTTGGACGCTGCTGCTGTCACCGCCGTTCGCCGGGTGGCCCCAAGTCACCTATGTTATAGTCTAGTAAATTATAGCACGGTAGTATATCGTGGTATAGGGTTTTTCTGTTCCCCTAATAGGTCCCTGGGAAGGTAGTAAGGCGCAGCTGTCCCCTTTCAACGAGTGTTCTATGACTATCACGGCAGAAAGGCTTTTGAGAAATGTTTATACAGGTGCTTCACGGCTTTATAACCCTAAGGCTCTAAGGACTCATATTTTAAGGCTTTTGGGCCCAAAGACCATACTATATAAGGCTTTTGGGCCGTTTTGAGCATCATAAGGGTAAGGGCATATGAGGGCTTTTTTTTCTCGCCCTCCCCTGCAGGCGACATCAAACCGAAGGGGCCGAGGATCCACGGTCGAGTCTATACGTATTACACTTCTACTAAAGGAAACCACAGGTGGGGAGTTTAGGGTTTATAGGGTTTTAAGGTATATAGGGTTTGGGGTTTAGGGCATGTAGGGTTTAGGGTTTAGGGTTCAGAGGTTAGGGTTTAGGATTAGGGTTTAAGGTATATAGGGCTTGGCTTCTATAAGGTATATGGACCTTCTACAA